GACACAGAGCAGCAGGCGACTGCCTGCACGTGGGGTGGACTCGCCTGACCCAGGAGGCCCCGGAAAGCGCAGGACTGAGTGGGAAGGTGGGAGCCAGCGTGCAGCCCAGGGCCAGCTGGATCCTTGGGACGCGGCTCCCATGTCACTCCAACACATGCACTGCCCGTGTCAGGGAACGAGAGGTCCCGGGGGGCTCTGTGGTCACCCTGCTGTGTGTGCAGGGGGGAGGGGGGAGCAGGATGGGGACAAAAGGGCTCCAGAACCAGGGCAGCCAGAGCCCCGGCCAAGAGCTGTCCACTAACCCCACACGCAGACACCAGAGGAAGGGAGCTCTCCTGCCCTCTCCCGAACCACTTCTCAGACACGAAGGCCACGGGGATGAGGTGCCGATCCGAAGAGGAGGGTCTGCAGTGACAGAAAGGCACGGCTGGCACGGCTGGTCCAGGCCCACAGGCCGCGCGGGCCCGCTGCACAACCGGCTTCTCGGGGCACAGAGAACCGCCGGAGGGCGGCGCTCAGCTGGACCCCTTCGACAGGGAGGACAGGGAGGCCCCTCCTGTGGCTGACGCCCCTTCCACCCCGGACGGCCTTGGAGGTCCCAGGGCCTGGGGACCGTCCCGGGAGTGCTGTGGAGGGGAGGCAGGGGGCTCGGGCCCCGGGGCCACCTCCAGAATTCATGTAATGGGAAAAAAGCAGCTTCACAAGTTATTGCTCTACTTTAGGCATCAGCACAGGGGCCGCGCTTCGTTGCTCAACCCCAGGACCCCGACCCAGCAGGCCCCGTGGGAAGAAGCACGCGTGTGCGGGTCCGGCGGAGGGCTTCGGAGCGCAAGGTTTCTCTGGCGGCCTCACGAGGACACGGTCTCACACACAGATGTTCCTTCTCCGCCAGATATGATCCTCGAGGCGGGGGGTGGGGAGGATTGCTAGTAAATGAGTCCGAGTTGGCATCACCAGACGCCAGCTCTCTGGTCCTGTGGCCCCTCTTCCGTTAGTCGGGGGAGATGCCCGGCACTGGCAGGAGGGGAGCGCTGGAGGAGACAGTGTCACGGGCTCCCTCATTCATTCCTTTGTCCGACTCCAGAGCCAGGTATGGAGCACCTGTGGCCCAGGCAGTGCCAGGACTCAGCCCCTCAGCTGTGGTGCCGCCCGCCGGGGCAGCCGCTCTGGGCCCATTATTTACAGTGGCGGCATTCACTGCTGGTTCTGGCCCACGGTTCCCATAGACTGGTGCCCAATTAGTCACATCTGTGAGACAGCTCGGCTCTGCCCAGGCCTGCCAAATCCGCCTGCCAATTGGGCGAAGCTTTGTGCCATATGGACCACCCTCAACCTCCGCGGCAATGGGGTGCCCACCGGCCTCAGGAATCCTGTCTGCTCACCAGCTTCCCGAGACTCAAGTGAGACATGTTGGCAGAGGGGACGGGAAAGGATGCCCAGTTTAATGGACACGCAGGGAGGATAGCCGCTCAGTCCCCCTCACCCTCCGCCCAGACGCTCCCTCCGGCCCAGTCACACTGAGAGGCCGCCATACTGTCTTGAAAACTAGGAGCTCATCCTGTGTCTATACTTCCCGTGATGGGACATAAGCTTGTGATGATGATGATGATGATGATGGTGATGGTGATGATGATGATGATGATGATGATGATGATGATGATGATGATGATGATGATGATGATGATGATGATGATGATGATGATGATGATGATGATGATGATGGTGGTGGGGGTGATGGGGATGGTGGTGATGATAATGTTGGTGGAGATGATGGTGATGGTCCTGCTAACATTGGTGGTGATGATGATGATGATGATGGTGGTGGTGGTGATGATGATGACAATGGATGATGGTGATGATGATGGCGGTGGGGATGATGATGATAATTTGGGGAGATAATGATGATGATGGTGATGGTGATGATAATGATTGTGATGATGATGATGGTGATCATAATATTGGTGAGATGATGTGATGATGATGACGGTGGTGATGGTGGTAGTATTGATGATGATGAAAGTGGTGACCAATTAGTCGTGATAATGATGATGATGACAATGGTCACGGGCCTGCTCAGCATGTGACAGCAACCATTAGGTGTGTATTATACCATTTAATCTTGGCAGCAACTCTCAAAGGCAAATGCTGTCATAAATGGAAGGGGAAAACATCTGGGCAAGTTTGTGTGAATTCCTTGGATGCCTTAGGGGCTGCTGGCTCCAAAGTCCATGCGAAGCAGGGCGATATATACGATTCTGACCGCGCACTTTATTAATCTCAGTTTTGGCTTTCACCAAAACTGGCACTCCCTCCCCTACATTCCTGGGGGCGGACAAGCTTCTAGATCACAAAGACAAGTATTTCAGCCTCGCCACTTCCTCCTCCAGCAGATCGCTCGGGAGTGCTGCAGGCCCAGCCCAACAGCCCCTCAGCCATTTCTTGGAAGGTCACACCCCAGGCCCATGGCAAGAACCGGGTCTGTGTTTCTGGGGCTGACCCCGCCCTCCCCGACGCCGATGGAGGTGGGGGACATAAAGACACGGTGAGGAGAAGTGCGCCCACAGGAGCAGTGGGGACTGGCTCAGGTACGAGGCAGTCCAGCCGGAGGCACTGAGGGTCCCCTGACAGGATCAGAGCACCCTGGCGTCCATTCCCAATGGCGTCCGTTCCTGCGGAGGCCCAGGCGCTGCCAGATTTTGACCCTTCAACGTGTCACCGAGGGGACTGTTCTGCTGGGTTGAGTATCTGTAACAGCAAAGTCCTCGGGAGGGACGGTCCCAGGAGCAGCTGTCGCAGCTGTTGAGTCCCTGCCATGTCCCTGTGGGCGAGGACAGGAAGGCAGCCTCCTCCGCTCTGGTGGATGCAGGAAACTGAGGTCCAGGGGCGATTGTTGGCTCAAGGGAAGTCCCGCCCCCAACTCATGACTAAGAACCAAAGTCCATCTCTTGCCTGAGGCTCTTCGCTCCCCATCATCACAGGTTGGCTGTCTTTTGAGGTTTCCACTGTCAAGGTGATTTCAAAGACAGCTGCAGCCTCTATCTTATTTTTTTTAAATATTTTTTTATTGATTTCAGAGAGGAAGGGAGAGGGAGAGAGAGATGGAAACATCAACGATGAGAGAGAATCACTGATGGGCTGCCTCCTGCACGCCCCACACCGGGGATTGAGCCCACAACCCGGGCCTGTGCCCTGACGGGAATCAAACTGGGACCTCTAGGTTCATAGGTCGACGCTCACCCACTGAGCCACACCGGCCCGGCACAGCCTCTATCTATCAAGCGGGGCCAAACAGCCAGCGCTGGGCAGCTTGCCCACCGGGGCTGGTCCCCGGAAGCCAGCTGTGGACAGAGCTGTCACTCTGTGTGACAGTTTCCCACAATAACTGATGAGACAGGAGTCTCGATTTTCGCACCAACTCAGGGGCCGTCTTCCCAATGCGGTCCATCCATGGCCTCTGAGGTACTTCAGCCGCACGCCGCTCAGCTCCCCTCCACTGAGGGGGGAGAAACGGCATCTTTTGAGCCTAGAACAGCCGTGGGCAAACTACGGCCCGAGGGCCGGATCCGGCCCGTTTAAAATGAATAAAACTAAAAAAAAAAAAAAAGACCGTACCCTTTTATGTAATGATGTTTACTTTGAATTTATATTAGTTCACACAAACACCCCATCCATGCTTTTGTTCCGGCCTCCGGTCCAGTTTAAGAACCCATTGTGGCCCTCGAGTCAAAAAGCGCCCACCCCCCTGGCCTAGAGTGTTCAGGTCACGAGACCAATGTCCGGAGGGACCTCACCCCGCAGGCCTATGGATAGGGATGCCCCGCCCCACCCCACTCCCAGCTTCCCTCCTCCCTCACCCATCTCTCTCCACCTTAAAGCATGTGCCCTCCGGTCAGGTCTCTGGGGACCCTCCAATAATGCAGCGGGGACATCTGTCCCTTAAACCCTCTGACCCTGGGCAGGGTGACCCTGGAGCAGACCCGTGCCAACTGCCAGGAGGGCTGTGTGTGGGTGACAATGATGTCACTTGAGAGCCTGTCAACTCTATACCCCAAGAAAGAAAAAATACAACTCCATCCTCTCCCCTTTCAAGGTCAGTATCGAATCCGTCTTCAAAGTGTTTGCAATTCAGACCTGGTCCCTGGGCACGCCACATGCCAGGTGGGGCTCCCGCTCCCCCTCCGATTAGCAGGTGTTCCCGTTCCTGCTCATTTAGGGGCTCTCTCTGCTCCCGGTAATTGCCACTGTGTCCCAATGTGCTGGGATCAGCTGCCACCGGGTCATAAACATTAGACCTGGGATAACGGGTGGGACAGACGGCTCCCAGCTCCGCACCCATCAGCAGGGCTTTGATGCTGTATTGGTGGAGCTTTGTCCCAAGATCGGGCCCCAAGGATCGGGGGGATCTGCCATCCATCTCGGGGTCCGGACAGCGTCTTATGCAATGAAGGGGAGCAAACGTGGACCACAGTCCCCTGCAAAGGCAAAGCCATCCAGCGCCTCCATGTCTAGCACTGGGGGTGGGTGCACTTGGGGGGACAGGACAATGGC